AGACCAAGATAGTGTGGCCTTTTGTGTGGTCACAGTCTCCTTTCGTTGTATAGAAGTTGTTTGACCTTGTCTTTGCAACTTGGTCAAATTGATATCATTTTATGTTCACAGGCAGGCCGAAGTTAAATTTATCCCAGTTCATTCTGTTACCTGACCTGGCAAATTTATTTTCCTGTTCTCCGTATTTTAACAATTTTGCTTCAATCTTCTTACGCATTTTGATCTGACATGTAAGTGTCTTGACTTCTTTAAAAGCGTTCAATGCTTTTTGATAACTAGCTATATCCTAGGTGATCTTCATTTTGTATAACATTCAATTCGTATTCCTGACAGTGCAATTTCTCTCATTCGCTAAGCACCGGTAGGAACAAATAGAAAATAAAAAAGTTATTTACAATTGCCATACGGCAAGTTTTTGCATTGAAGCCCCTCTAAACTAATGAATAGCATCTTTATAAGCAAAAACCCAAAGTACAAAAATATTTGCTGACAAGAGGTGAAATGTGGCAAATGAAATTTAAAAAGCCTATTATATGAGTTAAGTCATCAAAAGTTACGTTGTTAGTCAGCTTAATGGATATCTAATGGATGCAAATGTTAGAGATTAATAATACTTAACCAGATGGTTTATTTTCTAAATCTTATCGCTTTCGATTTTAGCGAAAATTTTAGCATATCTAACGGTTTTCGTAGTTTGAAGTAAAGTTACCACCACCAGAATAAGCTTAACAAAATAGGAATGGTCAATATATAAAATAGATCAGAGGAAAAATGTAAGTATAATTTTAAAAAACCGAAATTAAAGATGCAAGAGTAAGGAGAAGCTAAAGTTTACAATAAAATGAATTCTTAACCAAAAATGTCAATGGCATATAGGGATTTAAATAATGTAAAATAACATTTTAAAACTATTATTTGTAAGCCAGATACGCATATGAAAATTTACAACCGTACACTTCAGAAACAGACGAGATTGTGCATGCATGTATAATTAAGATGTGCACATTTTGAACGAGATCATGCATATATAAATCTTGCGGTGAAATCACGATCGCTAAAAGCTTATATACAGACTAAAGTAATGCGAACCGATAAGAATAGGGAAAGTATGTACACGATTATGTATTCACTAGTTAGATAATAATACGTTAACTTTAAATACATTGTACTCATATAAATGCATATCAATCTAAAAAAAAGTAAGGTTTATAAACAAGATATGAAGGCTAAAATGCAAATTAATTAAAGTTCTGGTTGCGACAGATAATTACTATAAAGCTTAGCAAAAATAGGTCACAGATGTATTTGATATTAATTTGCATATATTTGCAATAAGTGGTTATAGAATTTTGAAACTATTTCAGAGGATAATATTAATTGTGCAAAAAACCAACCATATTAAATTTAGCTCACTTTTTTTTTTGAACAGCCTGATTGAATTAAAATGGCATAATCCCCAACTTCATGGGGCAATTCGTGCACCAATACTGTCAGCGTGGTGACAAAGCCGACAGATCTGCCCAATAAAAACGAGCCACCTAAAATTGCATAATTATGTTAGAATATATGGAGACCGACAGGTTAAGCATGAGGTAGCCAATTATCTCTTACCTATCGCCAGCCCATCGGTAAAATTATGGGCAGTATCGGCAACAAGATTAAGATATCCTGCCATCTTGAGATCTAAACATACCGGAAATAAATAAAGCATAGATGAAAGGCTTTAAGCAATTGCGCGGCTTACTTTTTTTTTGCTGATTTCGGGAAGAGTGCGATTTAGATTTGCTATGCTCATGCTTTGAAGTCCCCGAGTTGATGGCGGAGTGACTGTGCCCATGCCCAGAATACTTCTTAGTCAAAATTCGGACAATCATGTCGAAGGATAAGAAAGTGATGATTCCGCTAATTACCCACAACCCAGAGTGTCTATCTGAATTACTATTTGAGTCTTGCGTAATAGACTTGGGAATCAAATGAAGAAAAGCATCGCTAAGAAGTCCTCCGGCAGCAACGCCCAGGAGTATTTTAAGCAGCCTAGGATGCGTACGTAGATCTGGAATCATATATAAAACCATCAAAGGTGCAACACTGACTAGAAACACCGATCCAAGAGTGTTATACCAAATGTCACGAGCAGACAATACAGGAGTGAGCTGCCTAAAACATAAAAAGCAATCAATAAGATTCAAAATAAAATTCAAGGAAACAATCAAAGGAAATACACAAATATAAAATTAGCATATGAAATAAACGTAAATATTTGCAGTACTCTTTAGAAAGGAAACTGCCCAAAGATCCAAATGCATGATCATGCTTATGACTATGGCCATGGTGATGATGCGCATCTAGACTACTATGATAATCTTTGCCATGAGAGTGCCCGTATGCGATTGAATGTAGAAGGCATGCAGATATAATTAAAAATAGAGATGGGGAGAACATATGGCAGGCGGCGACAGCACGAGCCATTCAAAAATCGAGGAAATTGATAAATTGGTATAACAAACGAATAAAATATCAATCATTTAAACCGCAGTTATAATAAACTTTTATATACATATATTTATCTTAGACTAATTTCAAAGTCATATAATAAAATAAGCCTTAGATACTAATCTTTTTAAAGCCACCTTATAGTAACTTTATATATATATATATATGTATATATATATTCATATATAAGCATTCCTAAATGTAGTTTTGTTGACCAATAAAAAATATTCCTTAAAGATATTAAGACCAAGATGGTGTGGCCTTTTGTGTG